GTCTAAGTGGCTCTTTTTGTCTTAAAGGTTGCAGACCCCTGCCCTAGGCCAACCCCAACCTCTCTTACCACCAAAGGAACACAAGCGAACAGCAAAGAACCTGCACAAACAACGCTGACACCAAACCCTACGTATAGGAAGTAAAATAGAAAAATCGCCGACCCCACCCCCACCCATCTCCCCCCCACACCTCTTTCCCCTTTTCTTCCTAATGCAGGGGTCTGCAACCTTTAAGACAAAAAGAGCCACTTGGACCGAAGGAAAAAAAACTGGGAGCCGCAAAACCATTGTGACATTTAAAACAGTGGGGAGTGTCGGGGCACACATAGCACCTCCTCCCCTCGCTAGTATCAGCCCCGGAGCCGCGGCAAAGGTGTAAAGAGCCACATGCGGCTCCAGAGCCGCGGGTTGCTGACCCCTGCCCTAGGCGCTGAGGCTTTACCCACAGCGCCACCCGCCGTCCCTTTACGTCCCACTAAATTCACTGGATTTCTGCACTTAAATCCTTAGGCCTCTTATGCATAGAGACAGGAAAAGATATAGAGATCAATTTCTTGGGATGGAATTTCCTGGTTCTTTTTTCTGCTGTTTCTTCCTCAACCATCTACCTTGGTGGGGGCAGAAGTGAGAACAATGGAAAACAATGTCGCAGTTCAATGGCTTTAGGCTGCCTGACATTGACCAGTCCATCCAGAAATAAAAGATAGCAGCAAAAAAGGAACCTAAGCTCTTCCTAATTTACAATCTTACTTCATTGGAAGAAAGGTTTGAGGATGGTTGGTTCTTGCTTTTGCTTTTTGAGGTTGTTCAGCTTCTATAAATTGCCCTGTTGCCAAAGCCATACTATTATTCCCATACTGTATATTGCAAGTGTTAACAGCTCAAACTTCAAATGGCAGGTTTTGGAGACAAGGCCAAGTTTGGCTTGGATTACAAATTCCTTGGAGGCTTCAATAATCTCTCAACTAAATGTTCATTTGGAAATTTCCTGAAGCAAGCTCCTTAACCTAATTTTGGGTTTCTTGGAGTCAGTCTGGTTAATAGCTCACATGATTAGGATGTTATACTTATACAAGCCCCTCCAAATACTGTACTAAGATTCCCAATTCCAGAATTCTATATTGTGGTTAAACTGTCCTCAAAGCAAATAAGCATTCAGTTGTGTATTAAAATAAAAAGGGAAACGACACATTTCAAATAGCAGTATACCTTTAAAAATGTTTACGATGCTTCTACCTGGTCAAATCTTTTGACAAAAGTTGGATATTTTGAAAAAATGGGCTCTTCAATAAAGCAATTAGTTACAAAGCTCTCAAAACCAGGAGCTACACTGAAGAACTGTAGTCTACCAGACTGTAAGCTCTAAAATAAAAACAGAAAATTCTCAAACTCTTGTGAAGGTGTAGCTACAGATGCTGTTCCTTATTAGTTGTTCTTTTCAGTCTACAACTGCAGGTTCTCAGGAGTTGTGTCAATGAATTATCAGACTCCTTTTCAGATTATTTGGAATAAATCTTTCAATGTTTGTTTCACTTCATATATATAGTAGGTTCATTTTAATTGTTCAAAAATCTTAGACAAACTTTGTTTTGTTTTCAAATTCAGACATTTACTGTATTAAACCACTCCTTAGAACTTTTAAGGTTCAAAGCACAAACTAGGTAAAGGTAAAGGTACCCCTGCCCGTACGGGCCAGTCTTGCCAGACTCTGGGGTTGTGCGCCCATCTCACTTAAGAGGCCGGGGCCAGCGCTGTCCGCAGACACTTCCGGGTCACGTGGCCAGCGTGACAAGCTGCATCTGGCGAGCCAGCGCAGCACATGGAAACACCGTTTACCTTCCCGCTATAAAGCGGTCCCTATTTATCTACTTGCACCTGGGGGTGCTTTCGAACTGCTAGGTTGGCAGGCGCTGGGACCGAGCAACGGGAGCGCACCCCGCCGCGGGGATTCGAACCGCCGACCTTTCGATCGGCAAGCCCTAGGCGCTGAGGCTTTTACCCACAGCGCCACCTGCGTCCCAAAGCACAAACTACTGATGTGACAAATATCTGTGAGATAAGCTATTGTTGTTTTTAACGTAACTGTAATAAGAACAGCTTGCAGAGAGGAGGCCGGTAATAATTTAATATAAAGATAGCAGTTTCACATTTTGTGTTTTTCATTCCCCCGCCCCCCTGCAAGGCACCTGTTTTGGAAAGTTGAACTTAGCAGTTTTGGGGAGAGGAGTGCAAGTAGCTAGCCATGCCTAGGGCACAAAATAGCCTGGCACCAGCACAAGGCCAACAAACACAAAAAGGATAAACATCAATGGGGTACACACCAGCTGGGTAACCCTAGCTTCTACTGAGAGCTCCTCACCCAAGCGAGAAGGGTGCCACAGGGTTCTGTCTTGGGCCCGGTCTTATTCAACACCTTTATCAACGACTTGGATGATGGACTCAAGGGCATCCTGATCAAATTTGCAGATGACACCAAACTGGGAGGGGTGGCTAACACCCCAGAGGACAGGATCACACTTCAAAACGACCTTGACAGATTAGAGAACTGGGCCAAAACAAACAAGATGAACTTTAACAGGGAGAAATGTAAAGTATTGCACTTGGGCAAAAAAAATGAGAGGCACAAATACAAGATGGGGGACACCTGGCTTGAGAGCAGTACATGTGAAAAGGATCTAGGAGTCTTGTTTGACCACAAACTTGACATGAGCCAACAGTGTGACGCGGCAGCTAAAAAAGCCAATGCAATTCTGGGCTGCATCAATAGGAGTATAACATCTAGATCAAGGGAAGTAATAGTGCCCCTGTATTCTGCTCTGGTCAGACCTCACCTGGAGTACTGTGTCCAGTTCTGGGCACCACAGTTCAAGAAGGACACTGACAAACGAACGTGTCCAGAGGAGGGCAGCCAAAATGGTCAAAGGCCTGGAAACGATGCCTTATGAGGAACGGCTAAGGGAGCTGGGCATGTTTAGCCTGGAGAAGAGGAGGTTAAGGGGTGATATGATAGCCATGTTCAAATATATAAAAGGATGTCATATAGAGGAGGGAGAAAGGTTGTTTTCTGCTGCTCCAGAGAAGCAGACACGGAGCAATGGATCCAAACTACAAGAAAGAAGATTCCACCTAAACATTAGGAAGAACTTCCTGACAGTAAGAGCTGTTCGACAGTGGAATTTGCTGCCAAGGAGTGTGGTGGAGTCTCCTGCTTTGGAGGTCTTTCAGCAGAGGCTTGACAACCATATGTCAGGAGTGCTCTGGTGGTGTTTCCTGCTTAGCAGGCGGTTGGACTCGATGGCCCTTGTGGTCTATTCCAACTCTATGATTCTGTGATTCCTGTGCTCTTCTGTGCAAGATGTTGGTCTTTGTGACCTTGAGGCACATGCCAGAGGCACTGACGACAGAGAAGTAGTTGCTTGACCGAGGGGGAGAGGACAGCAGAACAGCGGGCTCCTTCAGCTCCTCCCAAACACACTCCCACCATCCAATTATACATTCACGTTCCAGAGATTGCATCTGCAGGTTCAGGTGACTCAAATCTATGTACAGTATTGACACACACAGGGGACAGAAAATAGTTTAAAGATTCTGTCCCGCAACGAGTCTGACTGAGCAATATATCGACCATATTGCCACTTTGGTTTCATAATATTTGACCTGCCAATAGATTGCGAATCATGAAGTGTGTGTGTTTTGTACAAAAATCGCGACGTGGGAAAAACTGTGAAGCCAGCCAATGCCTCTACATAGCTCCATCCTTATTTCAGATATTGCCATATATCAATATATTCCAATATTTAGCAGTTTGTTACTCCCTGTTGCAGGGAGTAACCTGTATGATGGTATGTTTGGGGCTTTCCTCCATCTCCCCTTCGCAGGATTCCTCTGGAATGCCAAAATCTCCTGCATGGCTTTTTTTTTAATTACCCAAATACTCTAATGCAAGGAGTTGCAGTGACAATGCAGTGAGATTCTACTCAGAGTAAGCCTATTGGAATGAATGGGTTTGAATAAGTTGTGTCCTTTAGTTTTTGCTTTTTATCTGGATAATACCTAATTAGGGATAGGGATTGGTTTGCTTTCTTTCTGTTCTGGTTTTTATTAAGTATTTTGTTGTGTTATTGTTGTTGTTGAAATTCCACAAATTGCACATCAGGATTCGTTACATAGTAAGTCCCCCCCCCCTTTCTATTATCAGCTTCCCATCCCATTTCCTAAGATGTTTTTTTTCTTTTCCAACCTTAGCTGCAACTTATCTTCCCTCTTTTATATCAGAACACTAATGCTCTATTAGAATTAAAAGAGGGGGAAACCCAGCCGGATGGGCGGGGTCTAACTAAATTATTATTATTATTGTTGTTTTGTTTTTGTGTGTGTGTTTTTATCTTGTATAAAAGATTAAAACACACAAAAAAACAGAGTTGAAGCAAGAAGGCATCTTCAAATATTAAATAAATGCAAGCAGTGAATTGCCAGGACGCCCCCTGGTGATGAATTCACTCTTTCCACCCACCCCCTTTCAAAAATGTGCATGGAATGAATGAGCTGGCATTCAAATCTATTCTTTTACAAGCATATTTTCTTTTATTATTGGGTCCATTCGGACAAATATTGGGTCCATTCTCTCACTTCTGACCCTTCTTGATCCCCTCATTCCTGGGGGTTAGACAAGATGACCCATGGGGTCCCTTCCAACTCTTCCGTTCTACAATTCTCTCGCCTACAATTCCGACACCCGCTTCAGGTGAACCTGAACAAGCAACACTGACGCCAGCCAAACCCTACGTATAGTAAGTGAAATAGAATAATCCCCACCCGACCCCAACCCCACCCATCTTTCCCCCCCTCCACCTCTTCCCCCTTTTCTTCCTAATGTCTCAACAAATGAAAATGATTTGTAAAAATGTTACATGGGGAAAAATACATGAGAGAGAGAGACATTGCACACTTTTTTAAATCAACAAAATCTTTAATAAATAAATAAATACTAGTCATAAAAAAGAGGCCTCCTCACCTGAAGGACATCAAAGCCCATCTGAAGTCCCAAAACAAAACTATCAGATCCTGATCCACGCAGATCCATCCGTGTATGGAACGATCTGCCTGGATCTGGATCTGATAGTTTACCACTCCCTGTTGTAGGGAATCACATATATAATTGTATGTTTGGGAACATCAGGTGGGCTTTGATGTCCTTCAGGTGAGGTTTGGGGTGTGTGGCTTTCCTCCATCTCCTCTTCGCAGGATTCCTCTGGAATGACAAAATCTTCCGCACGGCTTTCCTCCATCTCATCTGTGTATTTCTCTTCAATTACGAGATCCAGCAGAGAACCACACTTTCCACAAGTAGTTAGACTCTCGCTTTTTGCTGCGCTTCTTGGGGTAATCAGCCTTACGGTTGCTATTTGACATTTATCTGTTGCGGTGGTCTTGACGCAAAATTTCTCAATCCCAACCAATGCTGCACTCAGCAGCTGGAAACCTGCAGCGATATAGCCTAGGTAAATAGAAGGTCCAATATGCTGCTCGCTGGGAATTTGAGGCAATTCAAAATCTTCTGGGAAGACAATTTTCCCATTATGTAAGACGGCAGACGTGTTCCATACCACAGAAATCAGGACGAGTATCCCTGCAACTAAGTTCAGGAAAGCTGCAAGCCTAAAAAAGGTTAACACAAAATTCTTATGTTTTCTGGGCTCGAACACATTATACAAGGCAAATGAAATCAATCCAAGGGCCGCTGAATTCATAATGGAAGCTAATGCCATTAAGTCCTGTGCAATAAAAATTTCCCTTGGGAGGCTTGGATGCTGCTCATTGAGATCTTCGCAATGCCAAAAAGAGTTGCCGTCGTTAGAAGGGTCTTTCCAAAAGCAGACCTGCCAGATTCCGATCCAGATGTTTCCAGAGCCGATTCCCTTTATGTTTTCCACACTCCACACTCGCCAGTTGACAACGGCTGTTGAGGCAATGCACATAATCCAGGCCGCAATATCTATCAGGAATGCACACAACTGGAGCCCGGACACTAATCTCAGCCACCTGACCACCAGGGAGCCTTCTTTCACCTGCATGGGGGGTTTGGAGAGGAGGGGACCAGGGGAGACCTTGGCAGACATCCTGGAAACAAAAGAGAAGACAAGATGCAGTGAGAGAGGGAATAACAAGCATGTCTAGTCATTGAAGGACATCCTCCCTCCTGCATTCTTCCTTCTATGCACAGAAAGAAGCAGCAAAAGAAAAAGTTCCTGCTCTCTCCCACCCCCTGGTTCTCTGATCCAGAGAAGCCGACACTCAGACTTTCTTCCAGCAAACTGCCACTGATTTAATATACTCTTGCACTGTTCCTGTGAAAATGGCCAGAACCTCAGCAACCTGTTGTGGATGGGAGCAGCTCATGATTTGCTGTTCTGCTATCTGCTACTGAAGCTATCCTTTTCCACCGATCATAAACACACCTGATGGCATAGTGAGGAATGTTTAATCCATAAACTTACGTGAAATGCCTTCCTCAGCTAGAGTCTAGTGTGGCAGGAACAGAGCAGGTGTTTGCTAGGTGCTCCTGAGCCTCAAGAAGACTGAGTGAGCTATCGGCCACTGAGCTGACGTTTGCCTGAGCAGCCGGCCAGCCACAGCAGCAACTGCTCTGCAGAATTCTTTGGTCAGTTACAGTTACAGTTAGAATCCTGACAACACCACAAATCATAACTCCAAGGTACTGGTCATTTGGAACATCAGGAAAGTGGAAAATGGGAGGGAACTCAGCTCCTTTCTTTCCCAATACAGAGTGTCTTTTCCAGGACACTGCGCAGTTAAAACGTGTTCTTCCTGAAGTCAGATTCAGAGCAGTTCCAGCATTAAAAATGGTGATACAGTATGTGCATCTCAGTACAGATTTGTTTGATGGGCCTGAATGCATTTCATAAAGGATCTCCATGTACAAGAAAGGCTAATAGAGTGAGCCCTGAACCATAAGAATTTCCTTGGCAAAATTATTGAAGGCTCCTTACAAACCTCTCATTCTTCTTCCCCATCCCATCTTGTTTGGACATTATAGTAAGGGAGAAGATCTTAGCTCTTTTCCTTTGCACTGGGACCACACAGAATTTGTGCCATGGGACCCCATCCCTCACACCAATACAGGCAATACCATTTTCAGAACCTAGGTGTCCATGATTTAAAAGACACTTCCGTCAAAATATTTGTGTTGCTTTATTTCTGTTCCTTTCTGTGTTGATGCTCCGAATGTGAGCTGCTCAGCTGCATGCAGTGTCCACCGAAGTGTGTGTGTGATTAACATTTGGCCAAGCAATGGGCCTAAATCCATCTATTTCACCTGAAATAACTTTGGGAGCCAGCCTTTAAAAATCTAAAGTATATATCAAATTCAGAGGAATTAAAAGGTGGCATCTTTTTGACTATTTTAAACATCTTAGAACATACACAAATGTTAATGTTTGAAGGAAGGAAGCAAATGGAGCATTGAAGCCATCCATTCATTTCAGGAGTTGTGACCATTGATAAGATGAAGCACTTTCACATCGCATGGCAGTGTCCAGTGCTTTTAAAAAGGTAAATGTAAAGGACCCCTGACAGTTAAGTCCAGTCACGGCTCTGGGGTTGCGCCACTCATTGGCTTTACTGGCCGAGGGAGCTGACATTGGTCTGCAGACAGTTTTTCCAGGTCATGTGGCCAGCAAGACTAAGCCACTTCTGGAAAAACCAGAGCAGCGCACAGAAACGCCGTTTACCGTCCCTCCAGAACAGTACCTATTTATCTACTTGCACTTTGACGTGGTTTGGAACTGCTAGGTTGGCAGGAGCTGGGACCGAGCAACGGGAGCTCACCCCGTCAAAGACGCAAGTCCAGTTCTGTATCTGCATGACATCCTCCACACCCAAATGCTCTCCCGTTCTGTTTCCCCCACTTAATCAGGATACACCATCTCCATTGAAAACTCTGCTCAGTGACACCCATCCAATAGAAAAGTGCTGACCGTCTTCCTGCAGATACACTTCCGCGCAGGGGTTTGGCCGACAACTTCTTCCTGAGTGTGGGGATGTTTTCAGGGGCTCTTTGCTTTTCCCTGCCTCCCCTTTCATCCTCGCCTGAGGAGATCTTGGCCATTCTCTTGACAGGGACCTCCCTTCTCAGGCCAGATTTCTGTTTTCCTTCATTCCTCCTTCTCCCGGTCTGGTTCACTGAGCAAATAAGAGAGAGGAGGTTGCATGCAAGTCAAGGTGTGCAATGGATCTTCAGGGCATTTGGGAGGAATAAAAGGTTCAGGAACAAGCGACGCAGCAGCCCCCCAAGTGTAAAAACACATTTGGACACATCGCTCATGAGATTTGCGCCCCCCCCCCTAGGATATAAATGCAGAACATCCTGCGCTCCTATTAATATAAAAAGTGGGGTATTTCATATGATAAGAACAGAGGAAGTTGCCTTATATGGAGCCAGACCAATTTTGGGAAAGTGCTACATGGGCCAGTCCACCAATTGGCTACCAATGAGAACATAGCAAAACACAAAATGGCTGCCATATGGTGTGGTATGAAATAAATTTGCCTGGCTGTGGGGCGTGAAGGCCGCACCCTGCTAGACCCTTTCCACGTGGCCTAGTCCCAGATTCGCTAGCCCCACAAAAGAGGCTCCTCATGAGGCCAGAAGAACATGGCCTGGCTGTGGGGCATGATTTGAAACCTCCAGTCCCAGTCCAGTGCTCTAACCACTAAACCACACTGCCCCCCATTGCAGTCTATAACAGCCTGGAGGGCCACAGATGCCCCATATTCTCTGGCTCTGAGATTGCCCAAAGTTTCCTTTCTATCCCTTGTTGTGCAAAAAGAAAAATGCCCATGACAAAATGTGACATTTTTGGTTCTTTGGAGACAGTTCTGCTGCGCTCTCTCTCTCTCTCTCTCTCTCTCTCTCTCTCTCTCTCTCTCCATTTAAAGGAGCCTCATCCCTTTTCCCACCCAACTTCCTCCTGCACCCCCCCCCCCCGCTTCAAGATTTTCATGAAAAACTAACTAACTAACCAACCCATGATTGGAATTTACGAGATTAAGGAGATAATTTATTTTTATATAAGGAAAATAGATGGGAGGATAAATTAATTGCGCAAGGCAAGAATATATCGGATGGCAAATATCAAAATCTACTTATCAAAATCATAACAAAGATTATGATTTGGGTTCTTAAAATAACACCAACACATGCCTGCCCAGTGGATTTCAGAACAAATATGCCTCCGAGAACTACCATTCACAGAGTTCCCTAGGAAGTTGTGGGGATCTCTTTCGAGAGCCAATGGAGTGCACCTCTGGGGGTGAAATCAAAGGTTTTCAGCAGGCGCTAGAAGGAAAAACGAAGGAGATGCCTGCAAGAAGCCAAGTTACGGGGAACCAAGCATAGGCCTTCTGGGTGGTGGCGCCTTCTTCATGGTGATCCACTACTGCTTTAAGGGAGGTCTGGGAATAAGTAGATTTGTTGCTGATCCAAAACACCCACCCACCCACCCCACTCACACATGAAAACAAAGACCACCACAGCCAACTACAAATGAATAACCACACCCTAGGCCAACCCCAACCTCTCTCACGACCAAAGGAACACAAGCGAACAGCAAAGAACCTGCACAAACAACGCTGACACCAAACCCTACATATAGGAAGTAAAATAGAAAAATTGCCACCCGACCCCTCCCCCACCCATCTTCCCCCCTCCACCTCTTTCCCCTTTTCTTCCTAATGTCTCAACAAATGAAAATGATTTGTAAAAGTGTTACATGGGGGGGGGGCATGAGAGACATTGCACACTTTTGTAAATCAACAAAATCTTAAATAAATAAATAAATACTAGTTTTGGGGAGAGGAGTGCGAGTAGCTAGCCATGCCTAGGGCACAAAATAGCCTGGCACCAGCACAAGGCCAACAAACACAAAAAGGAAAAAATCAATGGGCTACACGCCAGCTGGGTAACCCTAGCTTCCACTGAGAGCTCCACACCCAAGCCGAGAAGGGCTCCTGTGCTCTTCTGTGCAATGCGAAGTGCAAGATGTTGGTCTTTGTGACCTTGAGGCACATGCCAGAGGCACTGACGACAGAGAAGTAGCAGGTGAGTAGTTGCTTGACCGAGGGGGGAGGACAGCAGAACAGCGGGCTCCTTCAGCTCCTCCCAAACACACTCCCACCATCCAATTATACATTCACGTTCCAGAGATTGCATCTGCAGGTTCAGGTGACTCAAATCTATGTACAGTATTGACACGCACAGGGGACAGAAAATAGTTTCAAGATTCTGTCCCGCAACGAGTCGGACTGAGCAATATATCGACCATATCACCACTTTGGTTTCATAATATTTGACCTGCCAATAGATTGCGAATCATGAAGTGTGTGAGTGTTTTGTACAAAAATCACAACGTGGGAAAAACTGTGAAGCCAGCCAATGCCTCTACATAGCTCCATCCTTATTTCAGATATTGCCATAAATCAATATATTCCAATATTTAGCAGTTTGCTACTCCCTGTTGCAGGGAGTAACATGTATGATGGTATGTTTGGGGCTTTCCTCCATCTCCCCTTCGCAGGATTCCTCTGGAATGATAAAATCTTCCGCATGGCTTTCCTCCATCTCATTTGCGGAGGATTTCTCTTCAATTACCAGATCCAGCAGAGAACCACACTTTGAACAAGTAGTTAGACTCTCGCTTTTTACCGCGCTCCTTGGGGTAATCAGCCTCACAGTTGCTATTTGACATTTATCTGTTGCGGTGGTCTTGGCGCAAAATCTCTCTGTCCCTACAGAACCTAGAGAAAATTTATCTCCGAAGGTGTTACAGAATTACAGGGGGGGGGCACATCTTTAAAGTTGTTAAATGTTACAAACATTATGCCTGAACCTATCCTTTCAACTTGACAGCTCAGGGAAGATACCAAGCTTTTTGAATCCTATAAAATCAACCCTTTTGCCAAGTTCCTCCATTCCAGCACCATTTTACCCTTGGGAAAAAGACTCTTTCCCCTTCCACCTCCCCAAGCTTGAAGACATGGGTACACACCTCCTGCCCCAGGAAATGCCCAGAGGTGACAATTGCTGGGCTCCTTGTTCTCCAAGGGAAGGCAAATCTCATCCCCAGACTTGCCTCCGGCTCCAGAGATGCCAAGGAAGTTCTGTTGTACTTTGGGTGGTGGGTACTTAAGACATGTTTGCCTATGATGCTAAGCTTATACTGTACTTGGGTGTTGCCCTGACATAGCTGTCTATGCTAATCTTGTGTAACCCTCCCCTTTTGTGACATGTTAGTGATGTGGCAATGATGCATTGATGATGCTGTGCAAACTGTATTCTGACATATGGTGGGAATGTTTTCAAAGTCAATGTGGCCCCATGCTCTGGATCACTGGCTGCTGTTGAACCTGTTGCGCAACAATAAAGGCTCTGAGTCTACTGACTGCTGTTTTGCTCCAAATTGCTTGCTTGCTGGAATTTCCTTATTTTACTGACCACATGGACCTGCGGGGGGGGGGACGGACCTGTACCCCGAGGAGCTGGGCTGTTGAGTAGTCTCTCAACCCGGATTTTTCCTTAACAGTGTGGAACCTCTAATGGAGCAATCTCCCCACTCCCCCCCCAAATATTGTTCCTTAGACTGTCCCTGTGGCCGGCTTTTTGGTTTTGTAAGAAAAGCACATTTCACATCAAATTTAGCTGCGGATTAAGCTGGGGGAAGGGAATGGCCACTCTTTCTCTCCTAAACCTCTCCTGTCCACCACCACCCTTTTCTGGGCACAATTATTTTAGACAGCCCACCCCTGTTTCCTCCCTATGCAGAGTTAAGGCCCAATAAACTGCTATTAAAGGTAAAGGTAAAGGGACCCCTGACC